AATCTCTAAGAGATTTATTTTCACAGAGGGGATATCAAAATATATTACAATAAATTAGTAAGTAAATTTTTACTTGAATTTATCTTAATAATATAGAGTTAAGAATAGTGATAGAAGCTGTAACTAATTGTAACTTGTTATAATTCTCTGATTAACTGCTGCAACTCTGTTATAATTTTCTGATTGGCTGTTGCAAGTTATAACTAGTTGAGAAGCTATCTTTAATTAAGAAAGACTAAAATAATTAAAAGATAAAGAGAAGAAAATTAGATTATACTTTTAATAATAATAAAGATTTCTAAGATTTGTGTCAATATTTATAAATATCATTTTAATAAAGAATAAAATAAATAATAAAAGAAATAAATAAATCAAAAGAAATTATAAATATATATTAATAAAGTTACTAATAATCAATATAATTAAAATTTAAGCAATTAAATAATAAAACTACTATTAATTAAAGAAGATTATGACTAATAAAAGATAAAAACTAAAGTATAAAAACTAAATAACTAAAAAAATATAGCTTATTTATAGTAGAGATCTTCTATTCTCAAAATAATAAAATAAATAAAATAAAAAGTATGACTGATTTATAGTAAAGATCTTTTACTCTCAAAATAATATCAAAAATCAAAAACTAATATAATATTATAACTCAAAAATCAAAATTAACTTTATATAGTTAAAGAAATAAAACTGAATAAAAAAAAGAATACTAATATAATTAGAAAAGAAATCTTGTAAAAAGATAATTATTATCATGATAATAAGCTTTTTAATTATATTTTCCAGATAATTTAATTCAAACTATTTATTTCAAGCTGAAAATAGCAGATTCTTTTATATATTTTCAAATACAAAAATTATTATAGTATTACTAGCTAATATTATTTAAATATATATGTTATAATTAAAGTACTATAGTTTAAATATTAATAATTAGAAATATATATATCAAAGAATATTAAAAGATATTAAAAGATATTAAAAGATATAAAAGAATATTAAAAGATATGAAAAGATGTTGAAATATGTGAAAAGATATTGAAAGATATAGAAAGATATTGAAAAATATGAAAAGATATTTGTGATTAACATTTCAAATATAATTATTCTATCAAAATTAAAAATAATTTTCTATTATATTATTTTATTATATATATAAATATTATATTATGAGTAATTCAAAAATATAGATCTTGAATAAATATAAAATATAGTATTTAAAAATAAAAATGTGTTAATAAATATAATAATAAAAATAAATATATGATATAAAAATAGAAATATTTATAGATAAATATAAAATTATAGAAAAATATGATTTTATATAATTAAGAAAAGATTATGAAATTAAGAAATTTTATGTTACTATAGTAATAATATTAATTTTCATAATTTATAGTAAATACTTATAATTTAAATTATTATAACTTGACAAAAATCAATTTTTATTATTCAGAAATTAATAATTCTGTAAGTTAAGATCAAAATTTATTCAAATTATTAGTTAGAATTTTTTAAAAAAAATATAAAATATATTTATAGGATTAGATATTAGACTAAAAATTTTCTATTATAAAGATTATATATTATAAAAAGAAAATTTTATAATCTTTTATATTATTATTCTATCTATAAATATTATTAAATATCTTTATAATTATATTTTTTTATAATTATCTTTTTTGAGTTTTTCAGTTATTAATTAATTATAATTAAAAAAATCTCTTTATAATTATATTTTTTTAGTTATTTAATTTTGCTTTTTTAATTATAGAAAGATTTAACTATATAAAATTAATATTCTAATTATTTTAATTTTTATTTATAAATTTTATAATATATTATAAAGAATATTATTAAATTTTTTATTAAACTGATAAGAAAATAAGAGTCTTATACTAGTTATTATTATTTTGATTATCTTATTTAAAAAAATAATTCTTCTATCTGAAATAATTTTGCCTGAATTTCATAATAATAGCAAATTTCTTAATATAAAAAATTGATTAATATATTTGAAATAGCTTTTACTTTGAATTATTTGATTATATGAAATAATTTTATTATTACTATATCTTATTTTAATATTCTAAAATAGAAAAATTTAGATATAAATAAGAAATTAAAAGCTAAACTGAATGATTTACAGATAAAATATTTCTTTAAGTATTTAAAAAGTCTTCTATATCAATCTTTATAAAGACTAATTTAATATAATATTGAATTAACTTAAAAAACTTATTGTAATAACTTTATAATAATCAAAGATAAGATCTTTTATCACTTGGTTATAGTAAATTCAAAATTGGAAAACATGTTATTAGCTGAATTTGATTAAGTTGCTTTGTTATATTAAGTTAAAATATATATTTTTATACAAAGAATCAATTCTTTAATTATTTTCATATCTGTTTTTTATCAAGTCAAAACTTATCTTTATATACAAATTTTATTTTTGATTTATTAAAGTAAGTAATAAGTAAATATTATAAGAATAAATGTTTAAGATAAAGATTAAAAGAAAAATTAAAATAAATATTATAATATTAATTATAATTTTAAATACAATACTATTATTAACAATACAATATAATAACTTCCTTTTCTTTTAATTATAATACAGATGAGTGTTGCTATATGAATATATAATTGCAAAGATCCGATTTTGTCCAATTGTGTTGTGATTTTTCTTTTTAAATAGCATGGTGTTTATTATGTTGATTATGTGAAATCCGTCTAATCCATTTTCAAGACCAATTTCCTCAGATTTTGTTGAATTGAGATCTATTTTTTTTGTGAAATTAATTCCCAAGTCCTCATCTCTAGATGTTGGCTGAGATTCTGGTATTAAAATCATATTCATTTCTTTAAATCCATCAAAATCTTTTTCAAGGTCAATTTCTTTTGGATTTGTATTTGAATTATGATCTTTATTTTTCTGATATTACTTATAGTTTTCGCAGAATTAATTCTTAATTCTTCATTTCTAAATATCAATTGAAATTCTGGTGCCAAATCCATTTCTCTGAATCCATTTTCGAAGCCTTTTTTTGCGATTTGAACACCTTCCTTTTCATTGTAAAAGAATTCAAGATTATATATAGAGGTTGAGTTTCCAAAATATTTTATTATTAATGAGTCATCTTTTTCAATTTCTTGTTTTTGCAGAGCCAATGACCATAACTAAGTTGAATCTCAGGCAAATTCATATCGGCAGTTTCTTGAACTTTTACTATAGCCACTTTTTTTCTCATCAGCTTCTTGATCTTTTAAGCAATCATAATACATGTAATATCCGACCCAATATTTCGCATTATAATTATCCAAATCTGCATAATAATCATCATTAAACAGAATAGATTTTTATTAATTAATTTTTAATATATTAATATGATATTAATAATCTCAATTACCTTTATTTATAATATCCATCCATCCAACGGGAGCTTGCAATAGCGAAGAAAATTGTTCTCATTTATCTTCAAGAACTATATTACAAATTCAATATTTGTTTTCTCCTGGAATGGGCTCCTTTGTTCGACAATTTCAAATAGTATCACAAAATTATAAAATAAAATTAATAAGAAAAGTCTATAAATCTATAAATTATTGCTGATGGTAATTCATAGAATTATTTACCTATATGTTTCATGCTTATAATTATGTTGATGTTTGTCATCTCTAAGGTTCTCTGATACCATATATTGGAAATGATCAATATCACCACAGATATCTCTGATAACATCTTTTGAAAAATGACTTAAGACGAAACTATCAATTTTTGTTATATATGTTGGACCGCCTTTTGTGATTACAACAGTTTGACTGCGAATATCGTGATATAAGCTTTCATCAATTTTTAAATAAATTAATCTTTTAGAGATGTCTAAAGTGAGTTGCAGTTGTAAACTCAAAGTTGAATTGGCAGTCCATTCGGTATCAGACAAATTTTTTCCAGTTCAATTACAATCTCGTAAAATTCGGTTATATCCTATGCTCTTTTTGTTTTTTTAAGAATTGTGTCTTCTTTTTTAAGATTATACACTAATGTTAATTTCATTGAGTGCAACTTGGACATTCTCGTATTTTACATATTGTACCGCTTTTTTGTTGTAGTTGCTTCTTGTTCCGGTATCTTAGCACTGATCTCTACTACCTCGTAAAAAAAAATAAAGAACCCAGGGATTCCTCGGAATGGTGTTTATGTCGTAGGCGCAGTGGCGGTTGCTGCTTTAGCTTATGGATTACAAAGACATTTCTTAAAAAAGCAATGAAACGAAACATGAAGAGAATAAAAGAGACGAAGTTGATTCACAGGAAAACAAAGATCCCAATTCAAACACAAAACCTAATATTTTAAAAGGAGTGAGAACTGTCGCTACTCTGACCAAATTTTCAGATAAATGAAAACATCAAAGTAATAAATCACTTTAGAAAACAATTCTAGTTTTGCAGTTTTTTTACTCATTAGCTATTTACCTCTAATTCAATAAGCTATATTTATCAAAACTCTTGTCAAGTTTTTTTTTCCTTTAAAAAACAAAATCATTACAACTTTAAAAATAACTTTGATGATAATCAAAAAAATTTTATTTGCTGATAAAGCAATGCGATCATCACGGCGTTTGAGTGATTTCATTCTTACGTGTACATATTTTTAATTATTTATGACGAAAATTTCAATTATGCACCTACCCAAATAAATCAGTATGGATTAGCTATTTTTTTCGTGACGACATGCTACATCATCCATGCGTAATATTGATCAAAGTTTAATTGAGGGATGTTAACGACTTGGAGGGAAACCGGAACAAACCGTTATCGGACCGTGGAACCGTGGGACCGTAGCGCCGTGCCACAAGAGCAAACCGCAGTTTAAGATCAAATTGCGGGTTAAGTCACGGTTTGATCGGAATAACGATAAATACAAAAGTCATGACTTGGCATTGAACCAATAAAATTTATGCACGTGTTTAAACCGGCTGGTTTCAAGTCACAACTTCAATAAACGATTTGAACAGCTTGAAAATCGTGACCCGGTTACAGAACAAATTTCTTTTGAATATGAAAAGCGAATTCGGCTTGTGCGCGAATTCTGTCCGCGTAACCCCATGAGCTCGGTATCCTGTTACATTCCCGTTGACATCTTTCCATACGTCGTCATAGGTGAAAGTTCTTATTGACAAAGTTGGTCGTACCCATTTATGCACTATTGATTTTTAAAAGGAGTTACTACGGGGATTTATTTTCGGTTTATCCGGTTGCATTTAGTTAAAATATATGAGGCGTGACTAATTTTATTTTCTATACATGTATAAATCGGATAGTAACTCTAAATTGATTTTATTTATTACCTCTTCGCATTTTTGGAACCTTTGGCGACTACTTTACCAATGATTTCACGTCCAACGATAACTTCATTTTAATAAAATAATTAATTCATTAGAACACGAAAAATTAATTACAATCATTTATAAGAACAGTCTTATCACAACTTGGTTAAGAACAGAAATTAAAGAATATTTATTACTTGGATAGTCAGCGCCATGTCCTACAAATATATATGTAAGCAATAAAATAAATTAATAATTAAAACTTACCTCAAATACCACAGTGCGAAATCTCGACTTCGACTTCATCATCAGCCAACGGTTTCGGTTTATACGCGGAAATTCAGCCATAATATGATTATTTTATCTACCGAATAGCCCGGAGACTGTATATTTTCCGAAGGGATCTGGCGTCCTAAACTTCTTCCGAGTTCGTTGATTGGTCGCTAGAACTCACCAATAGAAGGTGAGCTTGATAGCTCCTTTATATTTCGCAGATTCTAAAATGATTCTCCTTGATCACCTATATACCAGCTAAATCAATCAGTGTGCAATTTGCCTTAAAGTAATAAGTGTCAACTCCTTGTGATCTCGATCAACACTATAGCACGAATCAATCACATAATAATAAAGATTTAAATTATTTTAATGAGTTTTATTTATTTAAAGGAAATAAAGGCTATCTAGAATTAAAAGTTATTTCATATCAATGCTATTTTAAAATATATTCGAAAGAGTCTCTTTTTATAAAGATTTTACGCGGTGAATCACACTTTGATTCACCTCGTCACTATTATTCTAGCAGTAGGAAGTATAGACAGACCAGTGGTAGTATTTTTGTTATCGTGCTGCAGGAGATATTTTATCCCTGTTTTCCTGCTCTCTGGCAGCTCATCTGCCACTACATCTTATAGATGATATTGCACTCATCTTCTTACTACATCTCACAAATGACTCTTATGTTAGAAATTTTTCTAATATATATGCTAATAATACATATTTATTATGTGTAGCAGAAGATCTTGAAGATTTTTTTTCTCTGTTATTACAATTCATCTATAGATAGGATATAGTATAACTTATCTATTGCTAAAAATACAATAAAAAAATAGCAGAATATATGAATAGATTAGTAATAGCATTTTGAAACATATTTTAATATAATAGAGAACTAAGTTTATTATTAAGATATTTAATATATTAACTGTTATTAATAAGAAAGAATTCAGTTTTTTAATTTGTAATTATAAAGAAAATTCTTTATATATAAAGAAAAGATTTAAAATAATATATCAGCTTTTATTAAAATAAAAAAAAGTATATAAAAAATATATTAAAATAATATTATATTATAATTTTAATTTGAAAAGAGAATAAATATTATTAAAAAAATAAAATAAAATAAAAAATAAAATAAATATTAAGAAAAGTTTAACTTATTTAATAAAGAAATAAAAAAGAAATATTATATAAATTAAAAGAAAATTTTATATATTATTTTAAAGAGATATTAGTTATTAATAAAGAAAACAGAAAAAAATATTATATAATATATTTTTACTTCTATTATAAAATATCAAATATTATATTTTAATAAAAAATTATTAGTAAAAATAATATAAATATAATAAATTTATATTAAAATAATAATTTTAAATATATAAATATTCTAGTAAAAAAATTTTATAATAAGTATAATATAAGAGTATGAACTTGATATAATTTTTTTAAATAAAATAATTAAGAAAAATATAAAGACAATTCAAATAAAAATATAAAAAATATATTTATTATAAAAAGAATAAATATTTTATTATATAAAAAATAAGTTTATTTTATATTTATTATTTTAAATAAAATTTATATAATATTTTAATATATTTTTGAAATATTTTTTAGCTCTTTATAAAAATAAAAATATTAAATAATTATAAAATAATATATAATTATTATCATTTTTTAAAGATAATATTATATAATTAATTGAAAAAATATATTAATTATCATAAAAAAGTTATAATTAATTGAAAAAATATATTAATTATTATAAAAAAGTTATAATTAATTATCAAATTAAATTTATAATTTTATAAATTAAAAAGAAATAAGATAAAAAATAATTAAATATAATCAAAATTATTTTATAAAGTAATTTCAAATATAAAGTTCTAAAAATATAAATAATATTAAAATAGATATTAATATTTTATTATAATATTTAAAGAATAATATTATAAAAATATTTTAAATTATATTATAAAAAATAATTAAATAAATTAGTTTTATTAATATATAAATTAAAAAATAAATATCAGTAAAACTATCTTATTTAACTTCTAAAATAATTAATAAAAATATTAATAAAAATAATACTATTAATTTATTATAAAAATTATTATCTAATAAATTATAAAAAAAAATTAAATATATAATAATAATTTATATAAATTAAAAAATAATAATTAATATAAGATATAAATAATTAATACTTAATATAAAACAATCTTATGATAAAATATA